CGTGTGTGTGGGTCTGTCAATTTGATTGACGGCTATTTGTAGGTTGCCAGGCAACATTTAGGTTTTCGGAAATGTCTCGAAAACCTTGGGGTTTCCGATCAACCAGTTTATCGCCGGGCAATCAGATATTTCTCAAAAACTAGAGTGTGTACGGTTCAGCGACTAAGTTGATCAACTAAAGACGGCTTGCGCATGCGCAATACAACGAAAAATAAACTGGCGAAACAAAACCATGCTAAAATCTCAATCTGGCGTCCTTTATTCTATGTGAGGTGTCACGGGCGTCACTGGTTGCTTAGTATGACGGAAACTGTCATCTGACATATGTAAATAGTTCTTAAAATCCTGAGGATTTTCAAGTCACAAAGCTAATTGTTGGAGTACCATGTGGCTGTATATTTCTACGTTAAAGCCACCCTTTAACCCAAAATCTTCTAAAGAACTTCTTCCTTCTTCTCTACTTCTCACAATTTGAAATATAATCAAAACTTCGAGGGCCATCAGTACCTCGAGGTTATCAAGGTAGGCCTACGTAACCTGTTATAATTGATTACCAATTCCGGAAGGCTTCAACATGAATTAATTTCTTTCATAATTTCTATCACCTCGTTTTCAGTGACAGCTCGGAAATTGAAGGTGTTCTCTACTGATGCATTGAAACTATTATTTCTGAAAAAAACTTATGTTATCGTCAGAGGCATTTATATCAGAGCCCATCTTCTGAAAGTAGTTGTTTATTTCATCTGGTGTAATATTAGGTGGTATGTCGTTGTTATTAATTTTTCCCATAACATCGCACTGCTTAAGGCAAGACCAGAAATCTTTTGGATTCTTACTATTTGTAAGTTTGTCTGAGAAATAATTTTTCTTTTCAACCCACACCAATCTATTTAACATATTCCTTACATTTCTATAGTTTTGCCATTCGTCATTGGTCTTCCAGTATTTGTTTCTTAGCTTGTTTTTAATCTTAGTAAGCCTTTTGATTTAATTTGTTCTCCAGGGTGCACTTTTCCTTGTCACTTTCTTGCAAACTATTGGTGCGTGTTCATCATATATTTGTCTTATGTTTGAGGTGATAAAATGTTCTACGTTGTCAGCCCCTTGAATTGATAGAGCAGCATTCCAATCAAATTCTGAAATCTGAGTCACTACACGATTCGGCTCAAATCTGGAATAATCTCTGTAACTTATAAACTTAGCTTTATTTTTGTATTTCTGACAGGCTAACTCACAGTAAACAAGCTTATGATCAGTAATTTTGATTCCTCTGTGATATTTAATACTTGCTGCATCTATTACACCCGTTCTCTCGATTTTGGTCCCCTTGTCCACTATGATGTGGTCTATCAAGGTTGCCGAATTTGCTGTCACTCTTGTTGGCTCACTAATTAATTGAATCGTGTTGGTTTCTTTCAAGAGTCGGTTGAAGTACTTAGCCTCATTACACTCACAATTCATTAAGTCAATATTGGTGTCCCCTAGATATATTACTGAGTTTACTTTCACTGCCAAATCAACAAAGAGGGAGTGAAACAAAGTTTAAAGGTGGGTATACCTCACATAAGATGGCCTGTAAGCAACACAGTCGCCAAGCCTAACACCCTTAGCTTTCAAAACAATGCAAAGAGATTCCAAACCCGGGGGAGGATCCTCAGAAAGAGTGTACTCGTCATATAGTATGCCATCTCTGACATAAATGACCACACCACCACCAACCTCCTGTGCCGTTGGAGTTATTGAATTTTGATGGTGATCACAACGGAGCATTGCATAACCCGGTATCTGAAAGCTTTCTGATGGTGTGCCAGGAAGAAGCCAAGTCTCAGTAACTCCGAGGACGTCAAAGTCGTAATCACTTAAAAGTGAACACATTTCATTCTGAACTCCACTTGTATAACATCTGACATTTTTACACTGAACCTGAACCGGCTGGTCCTGACATGTCGTCAGGTCCAGCCGTCCAAGTCCTTATGGACCACACAGAGACTGAATTAGCTGTTAACTCAATTCTTAACACTCATTTTAATAATGATTCCGAAATTCAAAACAATGATGAACGTAAACGCAAATTCACTGAATTGTCAAACAGTACAAATAGTGACCCTGACCTTTTACCAAACAATTTAGACAATGCCCCTAAGACTAAAAAACCAAATGTGCAATGCTTATATAAACCTGAAAACAAAGGCCCATTTGAAGTAATCGTCCAGCATACGACAAAGGAAAAACTTAACCCCTTTCAAATAGGAAAGATTTTTAAGACACATAGCCTAGAAATTGATTTTGTAAAAAGGTCCGGTAGAAACGTTTCTGTTTTCTGCAAAACCTTCACAGCTGCAAACAATCTTTTAAATTCAGAGCATCTATCACAATATAATACATTTATCCCGTCTGCCAGGGTCTACACACATGGTGTTGTTAACATAGACCCTGATGTTAGCGAAACAGATATTATCAATGATGTAGAATGTGTGTACTGTGTACGTGGTGCTTGAAGCTAGGCGTATCAAACGGCGAATCAACCAGAAGCTTTGTGCCACACATTTCGTAAAAGTAACCTTCGACTCAGACACTCTCCCTGAATACATATATTTGAATTATGTTAGAGTAAAAGTAGAACCATACATGATACCGGTCAAACAATGTTTCCGTTGTTTTGCTAACGGCCATGTAGCCAGTACCCCCTGTACAAAGGAACGTCTCTGTAGAGATTGTGGAGACAAATACCACTCAACAGATTGTGACCAACCACGCACGTGTATGTACATTGCTATGGCCCCCACAGTAGTAACTCCAAGCTATGTCCTGAGTATCTTAGACAAAAAAATATTAAGGACAGAATGAGTCTCAAAAAAGAAGACTATTTCACTGCAAGTAACCATTTCCCCATAAACTACAAAAAAGTAAGGGGTGCTCCTAGGAGGCCTCAAACTTTTGCTGATGCTGTCAGATCTTACAACTATACTAATAGGTCCGATACCACAACATTCCTGAATATGCCCCTTGCCTCATCTACCAATAGTAGTCAACTATCATTATCAAACAGGTTCTCACCACTAGAAACTGTACCAGAAGTAATAAGTGACGTTACACCACATCTATCTCTATTCACTAATCCTAACAATAAAAATCTACGCAGTAATAATTATACACAACCAAAACGACCTAACCCCGCCACCAGGTACAGAACCGAACCCACCAAGATCTAGGAACCTATCAACCAAACCTAACTCCACGCAACCATAGTGCAGGCTGAAGATAAGGAGCAACTTAAACTGCTACTCAACAACAAAATTATAGAACTACGTAACAAGCTAAAAACGTCTAATGTCAATAGCAAAAAACAATTCGACGAGTTTCTAGCTACACATCTAAGCAAAACAGTGGCCGGTCATAAAAATGCCAGTAGGCCTATGACTAGTACAGGTAATATAAATCACAGTAAAGGCAGCACAACCGTCCCACCAGATAAAAAAAAATAATGATCACACCTATGATAAACCCAGATCTTAAGGTAATACAGTGGAATTGCAGATCATTTAAAAACAAATGGAATGAATTAAAACTTTTTTTAACAACTAACTCAATCTCAATTGCTGTGCTACAAGAAACTTGGCTGCAACCTAATGAAAAATTTTCAGACCCTAACTGAGATTTGTGGAGCCACGGCAGTAAGTAAGTAGTAAATTACAGTTTTATTTATACATATACATATTTAGCAATTGTATATTTATACATATACAGCTATACCTCTGAAATGTATGGAATTTACAAAGCTGTAGAGTTTGCATGTACATTAGAGGAAACCGATATAGTTATCTGCTCAGACTGCAAATCCGTCATTGAGGCCATAAAATATACATTGTTGGGAAATAATAGTGAAAATGACCTAGTAATCAACATCATTGAGAAGGCCAAGGCAACGAACGTTCCTTATATAAAATTCACATTTCAATGGGTACCCGGACACGTTGGGGTAAGATAAAATGAAATAGCTGACACTTTGGCAAAAGAATCAACTCTCATAGATGAATCAACATACGGTATGAATTTTATACAACCAAATCAGATTTCATATCATATCAAAAATATTTTTACTTTGAACATATGAACAATATAGCTCTGTCATCTAATAAAGCAAAGTGGTACAAGACCATAAACAACAACATTTCAAAATTTCCATGGTTCAAAGATTCCAATATGAACAGAAATGAAATAGTAAACATTTGCAGGATAAGGCTAGGACATGCTAATGTAAACTCGTGCCTCTATAAAATGAAATGTTACTTTTCCCCACTATGCCTGAATAATTGTACCTTAGGAGTGGAGGGGACCTTAAACCACATTTTCATGCAATGCCCAAAATACAGCTTAGATAGAGACCAGCATCTTAAAAAGACCAAAAGAACCAGTAAAAACTTTACAATGGAAATTAATGAAGTTGTCAGCACAAATGATCACGACATTTATCTCGAACTAAACAAATTCCTTCATTCTATCGGTCGAAAGATCTAGAAACAAACACATAACTTTCACTCAAATTTCACATGAATGTTTGTCCAATCCTGGGTTTCTTCATCCAAGGCCCACCTTTTTCGGGTTAGGACATTGCCTGATCGGCCCAGGCAGGGAAGACTAAACCTTTTCCCTCCCTCCCAGATACCCATCTACATCAATTCTCCTTAAAGAGATCCTTTCTTTATTAGTAACTAAAAATATCAGAACAAATCATAGCTAATTGTCAACATTTATGTATGTAAATAACAAAATTAAAGTGTCAACACCATTCTCCTGATTAATATCAAATAAACTAAGAAAAAGACGGATAACCACAAAAAGTGAACATTGGGGCCTCATGGATTTTAATCAAGGCCATCACAATTGTGACATTTAGAAAAAAAAAATGTTTGCAGCATGCTTCATTTTCTTCTCCTTATGAATGTTGTTGAATTGCTTGTGTTTGTTGTTGACTGTTTTCCCGTTCCATTTCATCCAACCCCAACCCAACCAACAAAAGATAACCTCAAGCTCAACGTTGGTTAACCAGTGTCGGAGGAATCAGAGCAGATTGAAATTACATTGTTTTAATTATGCGCTTATCTATTATTATTGATTCTATTTCGTTGAATATTAATTGTTAATCAAAGTAAGTTAGCACTGCTAATAATTGTGTCATTAGAAAACCAGGATACCAAAGGGATTTTGAGAGGTGCTAGTGAGCGATATTTATCAATTAGCCTAATTACAAATTCTTAATTGACTGACTAAAATGGTTTTAATGGAAAATGATGCGGTGAGTAAAGGTTTATATTTTAGCCTAGGTTTATTTAGCGTAATGGCGAAACTTTGATGTCCAACTCCACATTCGAACATAAAAGTATTGATTCGATCTAACTTAAAAAAAAACTTTGCGGCATCAAAAACCAAACTTCTATAGGCCTACCATTTGCAAATATTGTAACAAGCGATAAGTACGATGGAGTTGAAAAGTTCTGCCGACTATGTAATATTACTAGGCCTAGGCCTATATCATTCAAGCCCTAAAGTAGGCCAAACTCAATCAGTTAGTTTGACCACTGCTGGAGACACATAAGATTAAGTGATAATTATTTAATGTAGGCTATCTACATTAGGATATGATGTAATTTTTAGATATCTACTTAGGCCCCTATTAGCCGTGTGCAACATGTGGTGCAGCTAGTGGAGCCGCCGGTGTCGGACGTGTAGAGGGGCATGGAGTCAAATGGTGCCTATTAGCCGTGGAGAGACCGGTGGCGCCGCCGAAAAAGCTGCCCGAGGTGTTGCCGGGAGTGATTTTGCCCGGCAACATGTGTCCCGACCGTTTCAGTGTCCAGGCAGTCGGGGGCATTGCAGTATATGGAGCCTATTAGCCGTGGGCAACATGCGACGCCACTGACTGCGTTATTAACGTGAAAACGAAGCCTGTCACACAGTCAACATCGTGGTTTGAGTCGATTGAGACGTGCCTCGCCATATTGCTGTTATATTCATTAGTGACTTGGGTTAACTTTGTTTACCAGTGACCTTTTTAACAGTGTATTCTTTCCTTTTTGTGTCATTAGCGTTTTTAGTTGACTTTAGTTTAGATAAACAATATCTAGTGCTAATAGTGTCGTGCAAATTGTAAATGCAGTCACTCAACGTCATGTTTGACCCTAGAGTGTTGTGGTGAATTCCGCTGTTTGAGCGAGCTACGAATGTGTCGCGCGACTAGTGTCCAGGTTCCAAACGCCGTGAGTCACCGGCGTCACCACCGGCGGCTCCACTAGCTGTGCCACATGTTGCTCACGGCTAATAGGGGCCTAACAGTATTTTTCACGCTGAATAGAAAAATGCATTAAGTTTTTGTCAGAGAGATTCCTAAGTGGCCTTACAGTTTAATAATGAATATTAAGCTTCAGTTTTGTTGAGTTATTCACATACCTATTTGTGGTCCCTTGGACGAGTCCAGGTTCTAATGGCGACTAACACTGAAAGGGGAGGAAAGTTTGTGGAGTGGAAACAGCTGTCAGTTGTTTACATTCCATACCAAACAGACAAAACCTCACACAACGATAAGAGAGAAAAATCAGAATTACAATAAACTTATGCAATAATTATTCGATTTGTAAAAGCAAATGGACTTTGGTGCTGTTTAGAAAATACAATACGGTAAATCAACTGCGATACATAAACTATTAATCACATCAACATAAATTATAAAAAAATTTAATTTCAACCTTGTAAAATACCAGTAGCCTAATAGAAGCTAGGCCACTGCCGACATGATAGTCCACATTCCAACCCTCAACGTCGTCTGTTAATGAACGTGCCATAGTGCATAATCCCATAGTACATATCAATTATTAATTATCAATCATTGAGATGGGGACGCCACCTAGGTGCGTATTTTAACCCAAATATGAGTGAAGGATGAGTGTAGAATGGTTTGTGATGACCTGTGTAGCTTTGTTACTGACTAAGATCAGCGGTTTCATTAGTCAGGATCATTTATTTAAAGCCCAATGATCAGGAACAGCTGGGTCCAGTTTCAAACCATCAAAAACCTACTGACTTTTCTCAGGATCGAACCGGCGACCTTTTGATTACTAGGCAAGCACTATCACTCAGCTACCCAGATAATCCCAATATGCCTAAAAGTGAAAATGTGCCACAGTGCATAAATTCATGTAGGCCTATCAGCAACTAATAAAAACCGCATAATAATTCGCCTATTGGGTCTGATGATAATTGGAGTGTCCAATCGAAATCGATCACCACCTACCATCTTTTTTGTAGTCTATATTTACCGTCTTGTGAGTAACAGTATAAGCGTAAATATATGTTTTAAGTGTTATAAGACGTTTCTTTTATTTACTTTCTGTAAAAGAATATAGTTAAACACTAATAATACTTTATGTTTCAGTTTCTTTCAGAGTTGACCAAGCTATTTCAGAGCAAACGTGGTACTGGGGCAGTTACAGTTACAATGAAGAAATGTGAGTACCGGTACAGTATATCTATTGGTTAAGACAAACAGGGACATTTTTGTTTAGGCCTACTCCATTCATGCAAATCATGCGTGTAAAAAAATTTCATTTTTCTAAAACAAAACATTTAATTTTAATTTTTAACAAACCATAACACATAATCTATAACTAAATAAATAATGAGCAATTAACGGGTGCTATGGAATAAACACAACATGTTCCCTTTTAAGATAGGTAGTTTATCAACCAGCTTGGTTTGTGTATATTTCTCTTTGGACGGTTGTATGGTTCTTTTTGACATGTATTCTCAGACCAATTTTATTCACTGTTTTCCTCTTTTAAAAGAGGTCAGTTTGAGATAGAATCAATTTTTCCTCACATTCATTTTATCGGTTTCAACAATATATGAACGAGGGCTGTTAAGGATTATCACAATTTTACCATGTCTTTTAAGGTCCACAATCCAAACTAAGTCTCCTATCTGAAGAGGATTGAGAGTTTGCACTTTATGTTTTCTTTCATAATTGCATTTATACTGCAAGATCCTTAAGACCTGGTGTACCACAAATCAAATGTCCGGCCTGAGGTAATGTGCTCCTTAATCGTCTGTTCATGAGAAGCTGAGAGGGATTGTACCAATTCCAGAGGGGTGTCGTTCAATAGGCTTGAAGTGCTAAGTTTTGTAAATTTTGAAAGTCGTCTTTTACATTTTCTAAGAATAATTTCGGCAATTTTACTGCTGGCTCTGCATCCCCATATCTTTGGGAAAATGTTAGTATACTTGTTATATGCTTAAAGTTATACACTTTGGAAAATATCTTGAAACCTGAATGTCTAAGGACTTAAAATTGAGACCAGCAGTCAGATCTAACTTCTTCTGGAATGCCGTGTCGACAGAAAAAGGCTTTGCACTTCATTATCACTTCTTGTGATGTTAATAAGTGTAATTCGGCTATCTCAAAATATTTAGAGTAATAATCTGCCACAGTCAAAAACCAAACGCATTCAAGTTTGAACAAATCCATTGCAAGTGTTTCCCATGGTCTGTCAGGGAAAGGTGAGGAAAGCAATGGTTCATGCTGTTCCCTGAATGTTTGATACAAGTAGGGCTGATTTCACCATACTAAAATTGCTGAAGAGGTTCTTTGCCACCAGACTGATTCTTTTGAACCTAAACGACAGTTAGTAGTTCCCAAATGACCTTTATGTACCCTTTGAAGTGCCGAAGGCTAAAGAGCTGTTGGAATAGTCTTCTACCTATGGTTTCCAGGTGGTCTTGTAATGATGCCTTTGAAAGCCAACCTTAGATTTTTTCAGATCACTTAAAGTCAGATCTTTATTTTATTTTAAATAATTTAACAAATAACTTATGCAGTTGTTTATATCGATGGAAGACAAAACCCTTTGAACAAACGCTTGAGTTTCTTCTTCTAAGTCATGGTCATCAGTGCCTGAAAAAAGGAGAGGTGCTCTTAAAACTAAACGTGAAACATATTAGATAACAAATCTATATAAATAAAATTACAGTTTTGTCTGTAAATTGCTTAGAATCATGCAGTTTTTGGTTATTTTTACGTTTCATAGCCTAAGAAAGCCCAAACGAGTCTTATCTCAATTTCTGTTTGTCCATTCTGTGATTCCGTCTGTAACGCCAAAATGTCATTTTACCCGGCCTACTCCTAGAAAACTAGAGTACCAATCAAGGTTCTAATCATTTTTCTGTATTTACTGGATTGGTGAGAGTGTCTTTGGCTATAAAAACATGGCCTCGCTTCTTTGAAAACAAAATAACGAACCATCAAAAACCCAATTTTGTTCAATTTTTGTCAAATTGTCTCCCAATGTTTACTATTACATTTTATGAAATAACGATCAGCTGTTTGGATTAGTTCTCACTTCTAGCTGTAACTGATATGTTAACATTAAAATTTGTTTACAAATACCGCAACCATTTCCGATCAAGTTTTGTTAGCACATCCAAACCAAATGAGATTAAAAACGTTGTGCTTTACTTAACCGGTTTAATTAATCGCAAGTGCAACAATTGTTCTTGAGTTTTGATAACCGGGGTAAATAACGTTAATCTGTGTTGTATTTGTGCTGTAAAACTTACATTTTATTAATCATCGTCACCAATAGCTTACAAAAAAGGTTTCCACTCATTGACGGCGCTTCAAGGACAGTTTTAGTGCAAAGTAAAAAATCACAACTGCAGTGGGTGATTGTGGATGTTGCTGCGATCTTGGAAGATCTTTCTGATTTCGCTGTGATCGTAACAGAGGTTTAACCTACAGATGTAGCTAAACTCGCTTTTCAAATGTGTCACTTTTGGTTTCTACTTACTTACATTTCGACAACGATATCGGTACTTTTTCTACTTAGGAAGTAAAACTACAAACGTCCAAAACCCCAGATTAGTGCGTTTTTTGTCACATTTCCTCCGAATGTTTGCTAGATATATGTACTGATTATCGTTTAGAGATTACGTAATCTTTTAAATAAGAAACCTTTGTTTGGATAAAGGTGGTTTCTTCAAACTGTCATTAATATGTTAATATTAAAAGTTACTTAAAAATAATACTATTAATAGGAAATAACTTTGATTTTCAAAAACTAAAAAAAAAATAAAAGCAAGGGAGATTAATAACTTCGGAACTGCACCACATCAAGTGAAAGTTTTTTTAGCAAACCATAGTGAGTTTTTAATGCTTTACGTTGTTAACATTACATGTTACATGTTTTTTGGCCTGTGTATTTATTTATTTATATATTTTCCAACGGATTAACACCTACAAATACAGTTTCATTAGAAGGACAGTTTGAATTGGTCGTAAGTACTATAGTTCTTTTCTTAAATGTAAACGTTGGTTTTTGGTACTGCTACCAAAAATTCCTTAGAACCGATGGTAGCAGTAAGAACCATTTTTACGTACAAACACATCACTATTTACAACTATAGTTACCGGTATCGTTAGTGCTGCACCTTATTTCTTATTAAATTTAGTTGATGTCTTACTGTATACGGTAATTTTTGCGTTTTCTGTCTGGACTTCAAAAAGTGAAAGAGTTTTTTAGCAAACCATCATGCATTTTTAAAGCTTGGCGTTGTTAACTTATAAATGTTTTGTGGACTGTGTATTTATTTACTTATTTATATATTTGCCAACGGATTTACACCAATTTTACAGTTTGATTAGGCCTAAAAACGATTATCATAAAACTTTCAAATAATTATTTTGTTTGTAATTTGCTTCGGTTAAAGCGTAGCAAATCCCCTTATTCAATTCTGTATTTGTGTGTGTGTGTATGTTTGTTGGTAACGCATTAATGTCCTTATTTCTCAGTGTTTCGTGGAAAAGACAAGAGCACCTTTGTTAAAGACAATTTCAACCCGAATAAAGTGTGCAGTAGTGAGAAGTCTTGCGCAGTTGTTTTGTACATTTTATGTGCATGTATTGCATATATTCCCTATGCAGAGGTTTAGAATTATTTCTTACTAGTGCACCTGTTGCTGGAATTCGAGCAATTGCAAAGTATTACTAAACGATAACAGTCATAAATTCCGATGACTTCAAAGAGTCAAATTATGGATAATGTAGGCCTAATCAGTCACTCCACTCAGTTGTCAAAACTGAAAACGAACGCTCTTGTGTGTATCGTGTTTACTATGAACAGCTGTAATTAATACAAATTATTTGTCTGTATGAAATACATTAGGGTTTTGATGGCCTGTGGGGCAAAGCCCGAGGACTTTTATTGCAGGAATTGGTGAAAGGGGGCATCTACATGATAACTACTTCGTTTTGACACATCGTTTGTAAAAATCCGTTCATTATCAACGGAGGAGTAGTGTTTCGCAGAAATCGCCTTCACGTGTTATATATAAGGATTTCTACCACAGTGCAGTTCTGCATGAACATCCAATGAAAAAATTTAAGATATAAAACAGCTTTGCATATCTCGCATTTAAGTTTCAAATTATAATATTAGGCCTATCTACTTATTAATAGGCAAGCCTGTTTCTTTAAAACATTTCTTCTCAGCTTGTGAAAACCTTTTTTCCAATCACATGGTTTTATTTACAGCGTGGGTTAAAAATAGAGAAGTCTGTACATTACATATTTTTGGTTGAGTTTTTGACCAGTTCATAATAAAATTTAAAAGAATGTCAGGGAAGCCAAGGCCTATTTTTAATAGTACCGTATTTCTTTTTCATAAATTTATTAGGTTCCAAAATGGTTCCTATTTTAATTACAAATGTTATCGCCTGTGCATAACATCATAGACAAAAAGAATTTAATGTCAGCCGTGCTACGGGTTCACTTAGTCTGCAGGTTTGCTGCGGGGGTATTTTTTCCGATAGAGCCTGTTTACCTAAAATTGTTAACCTACCTGAGAATTTTTGTTGCTGGAAACTGTTTTATTGCATCTTAGATGAGAGGGAGGTGAAAAAGTCGCTATGCTGCCACTCATCATAGGCAAAAATAGATACTTAAGTTATAAATTTAATTTCAGATGATGGCCGAACGAAACCTCAACCAAAAAATGGCAGTAAACCTACAACAGAACCCTCAGAATACATGTGTCTTCTGAGAGCAAAGACTAATAATAAGAAACTAGCCACCATAGTAAGTATATTGTTTCAGTTTTTATGCTCATAACATAAGTTAACTTACTTCCTAGTTAAAAGTATGATACTACATTAGTAATTTTGTGTATGTTTTATGTCAGAACAGCCTGCTTGATTTAAATTATATTTATATCTATATCGATCCATAAAGAAGAGTTGGTGGATGTATGTCTGTCTGCACGGGATGAACGCAAGATTATTTTTCACCAACAGATTTTTTTAAATAGTCATGTTTTTCAAGTAACTACCTTTTTAAGTAAGCATAATTTTTAAAATTGATATACATAATCAAAAGTGCATCAGTCCTACTGGTTTCGTACTTTTTTTTTTTTTTTTTTTTTTTGTCCTAGGACGCTAGGCACGAGCCTGGGATTGTTTTACACATTACTTCAGGCTAGACCTAGGGGTTGCGGCATTATCACTTAGATAAATCCATTGGTGACTTGGCGGGGATCGAACCCGGGACCTAAGGGACTGAAGTCCCGCGCTCTAACCACTACGCCAGCTCGCTCCCCACTGGTTTCGTACTAGGCCTAAGTAGACTAATAAATTTTCTAGCACTTACCTGAGTTGAAAAACAGAAATTAAAGCGGTGTAGTTGAATTTTTTTTCTAAAATCTATTATGGGTTTAGTTACAAATTTCATTTGATGAACTTGAAGAACAATTTTTTAATGTTCTGCGTGCTCTCTTCATTGCAAAGCAGGGGTATACTGGCTAGTTTTAAATATTTGAAGACACAACTCACCGTGCCAGGTAGGCTCTGGGAGTGTCCCTAGGGGTTCGAATGTGTGCCTCACTCTATCACACATTGGTATGCCATAAACAAATTAATTGTACTGCTTAGTTTGATAAATTGTCACTCTTTAAATTCTGGTAAAGTATTTAAATTCCCTATGCTACCTATTGTTGTGTATAAGTGGTGCTGATGCGTGTTTAAAATACTTTTTTTATAATCACTACATTTTGGGAATAGCGTGCTGGTTAGTAAAATCCTGTTCACTTCCAGGGAGACCCAAGTTGTTGAGTAATTTTATATCTAATAAACATTACCGTAATTTCAATATCAAAAGTAAAAATATTACTAAACCTCTTGCTCACAATTTACAAATACTTCAGTTATTGCCTCAAATATGTCCTCTCAAAGTTTGCATGATTGAAAATTTACAAGGTTTTGCGAGATGTGGTTGAAAAATAAGTTATACAATTTTTCAAGAATTGATGATTCCTCAATATCAATGATTTTAAGTAAAAGAGAATGTGAACCAGGCAAACTATTTTTAAGGTTCAACCACAACATTCATGGCCCAAACTAGTTTTTCCCACTTCACAAAATTACAGCTTCAAATTTTTCATAATTGTTGTAAATTAGCTAGTCTACTATCTTTTTACCCGGCTGGGGATTGATACTATTCCCCACTTGGCTAAAAATTATACCAGTTTTGTGCGGTTTTAGCCAAATTCTAAAAAATGTCTTTTTTTTGTTTTTTCATCAATAGTACACAGTGGCTTTGATTTGTATTCATTTGTGTTGTTTGTCAACTGTGCAGGAAAAAGTACCCACCATTTTCAAAGTTATTTGTTGTTTCAATTAATTACTTTTTACAGGTCCATTCAAGAGATGTGAATAAATTTCAATTGGCCTACTGCAACCTACTCAAAGGAAATTTTGATGGACTGAAAAAATTGAAAAAGACAAAATCAAAATCATCAAAGGCAACAACTTCTCAGTGATGTTTAAAGTGGATATGTGTTTCCGTTTTTTTATTCATGGGTGATCTTGTTCTTGTACATAAAATGTTATTCTTCTTGTTTCCCTTGATGCTGTTGTTTAATCTGGACTATGTTAAATAATAGGCAATTTTGAGTTAAAACCCCAGTTGTGCACATAAATAAATAATTCTATATTAATTTAGAATCAGATACTGCAGACATCCATGAATTCAGATCTAAAAGATCACTCTTCAAATTCCAGACCTATGTAAAGTAATAGGACTACTATAAACAGAAATTGTTGGTTTTGCAGCTTAATTTTTTCATTTGCCGTGTTGCATAAAAACATGTTGATGGTTTTTTTTATTTGTGGGCACTATTTTATTGACGCCTTAAATTGTTTCCGAGGTAGTAGTGGTAAATTGTGCAAGAATCTCATCACAGTAATTAGCATGTACTAACTTATAACGTAAATTTATCCATTGGAGTGTTGACCTTTTTGTATAGTATCGGCTTGGTGCAGCATAATGTGCGTACGATTTGCTGTTCGCCACTGCTCTTCAAGTCCGTGTTTGGCTACTTATGACTAACAGGGAAATTCTACATTTTTTATCTGTATAGTCCACAACATATTCCTGGAATTTTAAGAGCCATCTTTAGTCAATTTTGTTGTGATATTCTTTTAAAACCAGTTTAAAGATGTGGATAATTACAATAGTAGTTTACTTCTTAATACTTGATTTCTTGACATTCTTTGTGAACGATTCCATTTTTGTTGCCCAAGGATGGGAGCTAATAGCATCAAATCAGTGGTTCCTTCATTTTTTAGTTTAGCAGGTGAACGATTTTAAGTTTGAATAGACTACTAATAATCATTTTCAACTTTAAAAAATTCATGGAGCTCAGCGCCTATTGTAGTGTAAAGTTAAAAAGGATCTGAAATATTTTTTTACATTGATCAAGCATTTGAATTAATTCTAGTTAATGGAATTCCAGACTCAACACCTATGTGAAAAACGGACTAGAGAAAAACAACTGATGTTGTCCCCTATAAACATTATTTTAAAACTCTTCCATACTCTTTAATATGTTGTAAGTTTCATAAAACTATAAAGTTTTAGATCCGATATTAGATCAGGGTTCACAGCGTTATCTACTGGTCTACTGGTAGGCTATGGTAACGGTACCATAAATTCTCACTTTTAACAGTTGCATCCTTAATAGCTCCTAAAATATAATTTCATACATATTATTGTATGTTCTTCTGAATCCTCCCTGTATGCGTAATATGATGTAGAGAATTTCATTTAGTTTCAGCCACCAATACTAATTAATTTATGTGACTTTTAAAATTTGTAATTCTTGTTTCTCTGTAATCAAAAACTCTGTAATGTGACTAGGTACTGATTAGATTTAATTAATGTAATTAAATTATGTTTTTTGTTTACATACAGTTCTAGGAACATATAAGAGGGTTTCATGTAAAATAGTCATTAGTTCATAATTATTAATTAATATACCTGAGCTGTAATAAATTGTGACTGAAAACGGTTTTAAGTTAATAGTTAATATTTAAATTCAATCTCTAGCTGCAATAACATGTTTTATTTATCTACTGTTAATCTTTTGATCTGTGATAGTTGTTAATTCATTCATTCCATTTAAGTGATTTACTCTCAGATGAGATAATTACAAATGTACAAACCATATTTTGTAGCACAAACCACTAATGATTGACTCCCAAGTAGTTATAAAATTATGAGTTTATTTCTAGTAGCATGTAAATGATATATGACACTAGAAGGCTTGTGCATTCAAACTAAAAGGAACCGGTTATATGTTTTATTCATGGTGAGGCTTAAAAAAAAAAACTTGTTGAATTCTGACTTCCTGTGTTTTTTGTGAATTTTTACTTTTTAAGTTTAGTTCTGTTTTAAAGATTGTAAATGACATTGATTGTAAATTCAAACCATAGTTTTATGAACTACTAATAATTGTTTGGAGCTGAACTCAACTTTTCTAATGGCGTAGGCTAAACTCAAATATACTTAAAGTGGCTACTTTACATTTGTGTTAAAATCAGCATAGATTGTCAATATAAAGAGTATGCAATTCATTATCACTTTATGATGAAATTTGGTACTAGCACTTCCACACAGTAACACCAATAATTGAAACAATTGTGGGACAGGAAATAGCTAACTTTGTTTGGTCTAGTAGTCGGACAATACAGTGCTATGATTAATTCAGGTTTTGTAATGAAATTCATACATAAATCACTTTCTTTGCAGATAAACTGCCACTGTATCTTAAATCTGCGAAAATTCATCCGTCCACCACAAGGCGCCTTTTCACATTTTAAATCATAAAATTTATTTTGTATGCTTTTACCAAACTTAGTAATTAAATTTAGTTTTTCAAAAGAAAAACAGTTTTAAACCTGACACAGTACAAATTCATCAGTGTGATATATTAAAACAATTTATCAGTAAAATCAAAATAAACCTTAAGTTGATATTTTGTGTGAAAAATAAGTCAGAAATATTCATAAAACAGTATAATAATGGAAACCCCTATAAAGCCATACACTAGCACAGATTTAAAGTGGCCGGTTTCAACATTACAGTATTAATAAATTTATGTATGGTTTGCGTCACAAATGTAAAAACTACACTAATAGAGGATGCGGCAAAACGGATTCAGCAGTTTCACTCTCACAGTACTTCAGCTGTGGAGGTGAAAGGTGGACACTTTTGGTCTTGTTGTCATCGGTCAATCATACTATTTTATTCACCATCAAAGTCTATGTGAGGCAACATCAAATTATAATTATAACACATTTTACATTTGGAGTGTGTGTGCGTATCTCCAGAACAACAAGCCAGTGATTGCAATCTCAAAATTGTTAAATAACTTTGCACGATGTTGAAATGTTGTTTAGATCAGCAGAGTTGGTTGAGCATTCAGCAAGATGTTAGTCAAAAGCTTGTGCGAATTACCTTCGAAGCATTTGGTGACAAAAGTTTCTACATGCTTAACAAACTCAATTCTAATTTTAGAGTTCTTCTAAAACTGTGATCCGACATTCCTAATACACTAGTAGAACATCTTGTTTCTGGTCAAACACATCTCTGACCAGTTCTCACTGATCTTCTCTGTCTATATTTCATAGTTTTAAATTTGCTACCACTTCTCTCAACCTCGTTATTAATGGTTGGAATGGTTGATTGTGTTTGCGCTACGAACAGTGTCGTTTTACTAAAAAATAGCCACCGGCAAAAAGCTCTTTGCGTAGCAGTCACTGACTGTTTTGGTTATATTCACACACTGCATAACCTCAATGTTGTCTGGTCTAATCCTTGATTGCAACTGAAATGGTGTGAGACCAATCATAACAAAACCAAATGTGTCCGCATACCGCCACTTCCACAGTAACTTTAAATAATAATAATTTTAATTCTTGCCCGAGAACTACCCAAGTGAAACTGGCATTTTGCCGCACACTGTAACATACTACTACAGTACTATTCAGTATTTTAACAAACCTGAGATGTTCAATATTACAGTATTATTTTGAGGTTACAACCTTGTAGAATTAGAATAAAAACTATGTTTGTTGTACGTAACATTTCAGTTGCCATAAAATTTCTGTCTTCCAAGGCCTTATTTCCCATTTTGTGGAATGCACATATCAACATAATTAATTTACTTTGCTTAAATTGTTATGTCAAAACACAATAAAGAATATATTGTTACATATTATGTCTGAGTTTTATTATACCTTTTGTGTAATTAGTAAACCGGCTGTAAAACTGAAATAAGCTCTAAAAAGTACTGTACACTTGGTATCAGTATTAAGTAGAATTATTAAAAAATATAACAAAGTGAGCATCTCACTTGTCAGGAAAGATTAGGTAGGACTATAAACTTGGTGTGAAGACTCTTGACAAAGATCTCATCTTCATAGATCATGGATCTTGTAACACTTGCCTATCACCAAGTCGGAAAGAAGGTACACAGCACCAAATATTTTATGTAAAATGAATACAGTAACAAAAATCACATTCACACATAGGCCTACCAAAGAGGTTTTAGGAGTTAATTGTCATACACCGTCAGATTACAGTTTGTGCAGCCATGGACTCATATCAGTAATGCTGCTTATGGTGACACATTTTCTTGGGAAGGTATGGGTCGGATCCAAAAAGCTTAAAACCTCTGCCATTTATTTTCTTTGCTTGAAACTATCTGATCGTATGTTAACAAATACAGCACTTTGGGTTTTAAGCTGCTGCCAATGAAGACTGTTTGCAGGATGTTTACATGCTGCATGACAAACAGCGTTTTAAGAACAAGTGAGCCTGAGGACCTTTGCTAGAGGTCCCTCAGCACTGACTCAATATCTTTTTATATTTTGAGTTAAACTAATTTTTACATTCCATATACGGTAAGGGGTCCAATGGTCTAATAATGTGAGAAAATCATTTCTCACATTATTAGACCATTGGACCCTTACCGTTGTTGGTATCAACCAACAATAGCCAGGACGAACCTTCGGGGGGGGGGGGGGGTCAAGTCAGTGGCGGTTCTAGGACCTTGTCAAGGGCGGGCTCCCGGGGGGCCCAATATAAGAGGGGTGTCCTCCTCTGGAATTTTTTTTTCTTTTAAAGTAGTTTAGTGACTTTCTAAAGCAATCTTTAACCCCTAAAACTGTCTTCAATCTTAAAAAAAACTCCCATTTAACCTGTTAAGTTGACATTTACAAATTTAAACTATGACGATTGCGTTCATAAATTTCTAACCATACTGTAGGCTACAGCTATATCCTCCTAAAAACAGTTTGGTACTTTCTTTAGCCCCTGTAGCCTCCCTTGGAACCGCCACTGGGTCAGGTCATGACTGGATAACAGATCTAAGCACTTTCAAACACCAATTTCCATGCTTATTTCTAAAATGTTGATATAGTTACATAGTAAAATATTACAGGATGATAAATTTGTTTTGTTTGAGTAAAGTATTTTTGTTGAACCTTCATAGTTAGATTACCTCTTTAATAGATCAGATTTATTAATAGAATTATTATATGAAATATGAATAGTTACTGCAAAACATCATAAAACATAAAATAAAACATAATCCTCTGTTGTGGTTTCTATTTTATAATTTAACTTGCACTTTATAAACCTAGTGTTAATCTTTACTATTAAATTTCGGGGGGTGGGGGTTTGATTCCCTAACCCCCCCTTAGCTACGGCCTTGGTTGAAGCGTATCTTTGTGGCAGGAGCCAATTTGTTAAGGGCAGTAGACGAGGCTGGTTGCATGAGATCCTATCCCTCTGCTGAGAAATCCATTGTGAGAGGTGTGTGTATGTACTTATTATGGGCTCATTTATCCCTATCTAGCATTGGCTGTTGCAACTTGGGGATTTGAGAGCAAACAAACCAAATTTATTTTCAAAATCCAAAAGATGGCTATGAGGACTACTTTCTCTTTGCGTAGGCGTCAGTCCTGCAGAGAGTACTTTTTCAATTCAAAAATCTTGACTTTTCCCTCCATCTACATTCTAGAATCTTTGACCTCTTTGAAACAAAACTTTTCTGATTTTGACTTCTCTACTAAAAACAATACACATTGCGCAATTCAACTTGCCAACTCCTAAACACAAAACTTCTTTAAAAAACAACATTTTACATTGGCATAAAGCTTTTTAACTCACTTCCATTATCCATTAAGTTGGAACCAAGCCTTTCAAAATAAAAATAAAAATTAAAACATAAATTGCTAAGTATAACCTGTTATAGTGTCCAAGAATACCTGAAATGTTTTGAAAGCTATAATATGTAATTATTGTAAATATTAGAATTAGTAATTGCTGTATAGTAAAGTCTTTTTGTGCTGTTCTGACCTGGCTAATGCAAACTGTATTATTGTTACTTTGGCCCAGTAAAAAGATTTGATTTGATATACCTTAGTCTGATGTATCGAAAATATTGATATTATCAAGCCAATATATCTACATCGATATTGTTTAAACGATATATCATAAATATCAATATTATAAAGCTGATATCTACATCGATATTGCTTAAATGATACATCGTAAACCCGATTTATCGATATTTATAAAAATTTTGCCATCCCTATAGGTAGTTCTATATAATACGAACCTCTAGCCTGGTTTGCTGGCAGTGGAGGTTAAATACCAGGTGTCCAAAACCACCCGGTTTCAAAACGCTGGAAACATTTTCTTACGAACAAAAAATAATACAGAACTAGCTAAATTGGGTACGGTCTTCCAAATGGTGATAATTTCAAATCCAAAATTTACACCGGAAGTGGCTTTTTCAGACCGGAAGTTGACTTTTTTTAAAGTAAGCTACCGATTTTGATTACAGAATCGGATTCTACGTTGAAAAATACATAACTTTTGTATAAAACATGTTTTGAAAAAACTAGTTTTCTACCTCCAATCCCCTATCAAAGTCAATAATTTTGGGTCATTCATCTGCCAAAGTTGCTTGAAACAATAATAGAGAAAAACAAATAATAAAGATTACATAAAGAAATGTGATGAATAGAATCAGCTGTTCATTGTAAACACTATAGTAATTGACAGCTGGTCTACACATTGCTTAATATCCCTTAAAAATAAATCATTTGTTTTTACATTAAAATGGTAAATGTAAAAACAAATGATTTAAACAAAAATTAAATTAAGAAATGTGTTGACCAGCTGTTACTCAATTACTAAGGTGTTTACAATAAACAGCTGATTCTATTCATCATAATGTCTTTATGTAATCTTTGTTATTTGTTTTTCCTACAGTTACCTAACAATGTACATGTTCTCTCACTGATTTGAGAAAGCAAAGTGGCCAATTCGCTCATCAGTGAGACAATGTTAACATTGTCTCACTCTAATTACTTTGTCTCACTCCAGATTTGTAACGTGAAGGCACGAAATAGTGAGCACGTAACATGCAGGCAACGTCGTATGCGCGCGAAATACGTTGGCAGCACTGGCTGTAAATCAGCTGGTCAGCTGTTGTACTGTTGTATTTGTCACTTCACATTAAATGTTATATTAAAAGTTCACTGTGCAAAAATAGGTTATGTTTCTTCATAAATTATGGTAACAAATTATGGTTTTATGGTAACTGTAGGAAAAGTATAATGTGCAACTCGAGTTCAAAGTACAATTGCCTCACTCGAGAAACCATTCCTCACTCGCCTACGGCTCGTGAGTAAGGATTTCTCTCGAGTGAGTCAATTGCTCACTTTTCTCACTAGTTGCACAAATAACTATTTCTCTATTATTGTTTGGAGTAACTTTGACAGATGAATGACCCACAATTATTGACTTCAATAGGGGATTAGAGGTAGAAAACTAGTTTTTATCAAAAGATGTTTTATACAAAAGTTATGTATTTTTCAACGTAGAATCCGATTCTGTAATCAAAATTAGTAGCTTACATTTAAAAAAGTCAACTTCCGGTCTGAAAAAGCCACTTCCGGTGTGATTTTGGATTTGAAATTATCACTATTTGGTAGACGTACCCAATTTAGCTAGTTCTGTATTATTTTTTGTTTGTAAGAAAATGTTTCCAACGTTTTGAAAGGGGTGTACGGGTGGTTTTGGACACCCGGTATAGCATCTACATATAACACATATACTAAGTGTTTCCACACCACCAAAACAAAAAAATCCCACTGGGTGGAGAAAATGCCATTTTATTTTGCTTTAATATAATGTAAAATCTCATTTTACCCTGCAAGTATTTCCCTGCTCTATTCCAAGTACACTTTTACTTTTTGATAGCTCTTTAAACTTTTCTGTAATATTGTGCTAGAATAATTTAATCAATTAGATCAGTCTAAAACAGGAGAATAGGCCTCAGATGCAAAACGCCCATTTTATCTCCTATAATCCCCCCTCAAATGGTCTGAAAATCCATTGTTTGTATAGAATCATTGCTCATACTGCATACAATAGACATTTTACTTATAGGGTTTAAAAATCTATTCTATTTTAGGGTAATGTTTGGTTCATTATTCTTAGCGTTAATGGGTCTGTAGGTAAAAAGAATCACTAGTATCATGGTGTAACATTAATAATTTATATTTTCAACACAATAGTCCGATGTAATGAAATAAATATGCATCAAGTTTTAATCTTGATAGTAAAAAGTAGTATTAAAAAAACTGTGAACATTTTAAGCTCTTTCTGAAAATTACATAATGCATTTAAACTCCATAACAACTATACAAAAACTCATAAGGTAAAATAGAAAAACATTAAAGCACAAGTTTTGTACAACTTACGTAACAACAGTATTTAATACTTTACCACACAATTTAGGTTAGGAAACTGAATATCACATTTTTAAGGTTCAAACAACGTTATGACAAAAGGCTTGAAACTCAAAATTCCACTTTCAATAATATGTAAGTGACACACTCAACTATTTACAAATGGTTTTCAAACTCATTTACTTTAAAATAAATATAGACCATATATTTTGTATATGTAAGTATTTTACGAGGTAACAAGTATTGTTATTTTAATGTTTCACTAATGTGACATGATATCTATTTGTAATAAAGTGGTCGTATTAAAAAGCCAAATCATATATCACTATTTTTGTTAATAACACACACTATAGCAATAACCTTTAAGAGAACAAGAGCTCTTATTGCATTTACTTCCAGACCAAACCATTACTGCATTAAATTAACTAAGTTTGTTTTTTATTGAGGAAAA